AATTTGATCACCCAGTTTGTTTTTTATAAAGCCTTTTACGTAGCGGTGTTCCTTTAGCCTATTTATCTTTAGAATTGTTAAAACTTTAGAATTTAACTGAACTTCTACTGACTGGTTCTTTAAAAGAAGATTTATTCTTGACTTCATAAAAGAAAAGTGAAAAAAAAAAATGAAATCTTGAATAGCCTTCTTGATAGCTTGAATAACGATTAAAAATAAAAAAAAAAAAAGGAAATTAAGATATTTTAAAGCAATCTGTCTTTTTGATTACTTAAAACGTTTTGTTTAGAAAGAGACTTCAGATAAAACTTTTTTTATTGAAGCGATCTGTCGTTTTACTTATTTAAAACGTTTTTAACGATTAAAAATCAAATTTATCCAATCAAAATTTGAATAGCATAAATTTGAAAGAAAAGTTGCGTAACTTTATACGCAAAGAAACTTTAGTTATTTTTTATATCTTTAAATGTTTAAAATAGAAGTAGAAGGTCAACCATAAAAAATTTGCAAAAACTGAATTGTTTTTTAAACTTTTCTCAAAAAAGTAATTAAGAATAACTGGTTAAACAAGAAATATAGAATTTTGGACCCCCCCCCCCCCTCCTATTGTAATATTTTTCAAAGCGAATTTGACTATTATAGACAGTATTATTGTTAGACATTTGTTATTTTTTTGGAATAGGTGTTTAGTCTTGCTTTAAAGTATGAAATAATTTTTTACAATTTTTTTTTCATAGTCTAAAAGAAAATTAATTGTAAACATCGTATATTTTAATTCAACAAATCATTTTATCTAAAATCAGTAAAAAATAAAATGTAAAAGTTTTACTAAAGTTCTATTTAACGGATATACATGTAAAACAACATAAAGTACATACACAGCTATAAGTTTTTTACTGTTTATAAGTACTATATATTATAATTTTATAAGATTTGACCGAAAGCTTAGATAAATTATATTTTGTAATGCTTTTTGACAAATAGACAATATTTTATATTTTTGACAAATATAAAATATAAAAACTTTTAAAATAAAGCTAACAATCTAATATTTTATTATCTTTTTCTTTAGTTAATGATTAACTAAACAAAAATAATGAAAATTAATGCTTATATAATGAGTATATAATTAAATTAATCGTATATGAATAACAAATAAATAAATGTCCCTTCATAGTAGTTTGTTTTTATTTTAGATGCAAAGACCACGCAAATATGGGAAATGGAAAGTTGAAAACTTGAAAAAAGCTGTTGAAGCAATAAAACAAGGAGAAATCAACTTAAATGTAGCTGCTTATGAATTTTGTATTTCAAAAGCAACTTTGTCAAGGCATATATATGAAAAAAACAAAATTGCTGTTGCAAATGTGAAATTTCATGGTCGACTTACTACCTTACCTAAAGAAATTGAAACAGAACTAGCTGATCATTGATTGTTATTAGAATCAATGTATTTTGGATTGAGGATTGATGATCTTCGTCGTCATTGCAGAAGCTAACAACATCACAAATAATTTGATATTGCAGAAGCTAACAACATCACAAATAATTTGATATTGCAGAAGCTAACAACATCACAAATAATTTGATATTGCAGAAGCTAACAACATCACAAATAATTTGATATTGCAGAAGCTAACAACATCACAAATAATTTGATATTGCAGAAGCTAACAACATCACAAATAATTTGATATTTCAGAAGCTAACAACATCACAAATAATTTGATATTGCAGAAGCTAACAACATCACAAATAATTTGATATTGCAGAAGCTAACAACATCACAAATAATTTGATATTGCAGAAGCAAACAACATCACAAATAATTTGATATTGCAGAAGCTAACAACATCACAAATAATTTGATATTGCAGAAGCTAACAACATCACAAATAATTTTAACAAACAAACACAAATGGCAGGAAAAAAGTGGTATTACGCATTTATGCAAAGGCATCCACAACTGTCGCTTCGTGGGTCTGAATCAACATCAATTGCACGTGCACAAGGTTTTAATAAAGAGCGAGTGCAATCTTTCTTTAATCAACTTTCAAAGTTTTACATGGAAGAAAAGTTAACTCCAGACAGACTTTATAATATGGATGAAACAAGTTTATCAACAGTACAAGATGATCATGAAACAAGTTTATCAACAGTACAAGATGATCATGAAACAAGTTTATCAACAGTACAAGATGATCATGAAACAAGTTTATCAACAGTACAAGATGATCATGAAACAAGTTTATCAACAGTACAAGATGATCATGAAACAAGTTTATCAACAGTACAAGATGATCATGAAACAAGTTTATCAACAAGATGATCAGATAAAAATCATTAGTGCAAGGGGTAAAAAGTTGGAATTATGAATAGTAGTGAACGAGGAATATGAGTAACAGCCGTAGTTTGTGTATCTGCAGCAGGATTTTATGTTCCACCAATGTTAATAGATAAATGCAAAAGAATGAAGCCAGAAATAACTAATTGTGCACCTTCAAGAACTGTATTTAGTACTCAAGAAAAAGGTTGGATGTCAAATGAAGGTTTTTTAGAATGGCTCAATCATTTCATTAAAGTTGTTAAACCATCAAAGCAAATAAAAAGTTTTGTTAATATTTGAAGGTCATGTTACACATGCAAAAAATTTAGCAGCATTAAGTCTAACACGAATTGCTGGAGTGCATATGGTATCACTACCTCCTCATACTACACACAGACTGCAACCATTAGACGTTGTATTCTTTGGACCACATGGTACATACTATGATGAAGCTATGCGAAAATGGATGCGGTCACATATATCACAACCAGTAACAATTTGGCAAGTGGCAGAATCGTTTGGTGATGCATATAGTCAGGCAACATCGTTGAGAATTGCTATGAAAGGATTTCAAACTAGTGGATTGTGGCTTTTGAACATAAAATGTATTCAATGATTCTTATTATACAGCCTCTTCATTTACTGACGTTGGTTCTTCTAACAATATTCAGTCATCTGAAAGTATAGGTGGGATGACAAAACTATCTACAGATAAATCAAGTGAAAAAATATTAAAATGTCATGTTTAAGTTTCAACTTTGTCTCATTTGCCAGTGGTTTCACTTAAAGTAAAAAATAAAAAAAGAAGATCACGAACAACTCAGGCGGCTGATCTAACAAGCTCCCTATATAGAAGTGGTCTAGAAATTACACCAAGAAATCCAAAGCGCACACTAAATCTAATAGCTTCCAAACAAATTAAAAAATCTGCAAAAAAAAAGCTCACACTTAATCCAATAACTGCCAAATTATTGCAAAAAATTTAGGAAAATGAAGTAGCACTTGATTCAATCACAGTAGACCAAATAAAATAGAGCACATCAAATAAAATCACAATCACCACCACAGCACACCACAAATAACCACTATCATCTCAAGTGCAAAAGCTCCAAGAAAAAAGACTTATGAATTGCGAAAAAAAGATTAAATATTTGTTGTACTTTTTATTTGTTGTTATATCTTTTAAATATCTTTTAATCAAAAGCTATTCGTTTAATTTTTCTTGTCAGTCATGTGTTTTATAGCTGTAATTTAATGTTAGAACCAGTTGCCTTTATTGGAACAAAATGGTCCCTTGAAAAATCTAAGTTTATTTCTAATTAGGGTGAGGTCAATAGAGTCGAATCATTGATAAAAGCATAGTAGGGTTGTGTGTCTATATTATTCAATTCATAAAGTCTTTCATAGTTAAGTCATCTTGGATTAAAAAAGATTTATTCCTTAAGTGTTCCAATTTCGACAGCTCTCACCTATATTGAAAAAATGTTTGTTATATTCAATGGATAAACCGTCTAAACCGGGGGATTTATTATTTTTCATTTGCCCTTGAGCTTGTTTTATCTCGCTCTTGCAAATTTCTTTTTTCAAAATTATATTATCTTCTTTAGTTTATTTTCTTAATTTTGGCGTTTGAGAACAAAAATTCCTAAAATGGTTTGTCATTTTTTTCATCTTTAAATTAATAGTTGGTTTGTTATTTTTTTCATCTTTAAATTAATAGTTGGTTTGTTATTTTTTTCATCTTTAAAATAATAGATGGTTTGTCATTTTTTTTTTATCTTTAAATTAATAGTTTGTTATTTTCTTTAAATTTTGAATTTTAAAAAATTTTCAAGTTCTAGTGGAGTTTTGGATTCAGTTTTAACCTCTCCGTCTCGTTTGTTTCAGAAACATATTACTCAGCTATTTTTTGTTTTTCTAAACCGAAAATAAAAACTGGAACATCTTTCACCTTCTAACCTGCACTGTTTCTTTGTTCTTAATGCCACGTCTTTGGATTTTTCATTCTCATATTTCAACATTCTCAATATATGGTGTCCTAGCTTTAATTACAAATACATATAATGTCCCTTTCTTTAACTATAAATATATATAGTGCCCTATCTTTCACTATAAATATATATGGTACTATAAAGTCACAAACGAATTTTTTTTTTTTCTTATTGCTTCTAAACTAATCACTCTATTTTCAGATGGTTAAAGAATAAACTTAAAATATTTCATAATGGATAATTATTATAACGACGAGATTTAAAAGTGTTGATTTATGGACGCAATAATAATTTAATAATTTAACAAAACGCGAATTTTGACAAGAATTTCCGGGACAAAATTCACCTATACCACCAACAGTTTGCCGATTTATTAATTGATTCAAAAAATATGGACAATATCTGATACAATTATATGTGTTTTTTATCATGATGCGAATATTTTCAAATAAATATATTGATAAAATTAAATTTGTTTTTTCAATTGGATTTTTAACCTCTTTTCTTTTTTTCTTTTTTTTACCAAACTTATCTTTTTTTATATATTAAATTTTTTATAAAAATTTTTTTAACTTTATATTTCATCAAAAATACAAGTTTATTATTAAAATGAATACTTTAAAACTGCGGTTGTATTTGTTGCATAAACGTTTGTCATATTTGTTCTTTAAAACAGCATCATATCTACAACTCTATAGCTCTAGGCAATTTATAAAAACTTAAAAAGATGTTTTTTTTCTAAAAAACTTGAACTCTATGGTTGTAACGATCAACTATAGCAACTCTACCTTCATTTGTTAACGCTATACCAGATGGATAGCGGAACTGCTTATCCTGATTTCCTTCTCCCCCAAAATGACAATAGTATTTTAATTCTGGGTCAAATACTTGTATTCGATGATTATACAAATCACCTAATATTATATAACCCTCTTTGTCAACTACAACTCCTGATGGTCGATTAAAAAAACCTGGATCACTTCCTTTGGAACCAAAGAAAGAATTAAAACGACCAGATTCTTCAAAGAGTACCAAACGGTCATTCCCAGCGTCTGAAACAATGTATATATTATCATCCATTATTGCAACATGTGTTGGAGAATCTAATTGACCACATCCATTTCCATAACTGCCAATTGTTGATATTGGTCTTCCATCAGATGCAAATACTTGTAAACGATGGTTGTCTCTATCTGCAACTATAATACATCCATTTTTGTCAACGGCTAAGCCAGCTGGATGTAATAGTTGACCTTTTTCGCGCCCTATACAAAAAATAGTTAATTTTTAAAACTGTTTATGAATTTTTGTAAAATCTAAGTATTAAAATATTACCTTTTAATCCAAACTTTCCCATAAACACTCCATTTTGATTGAACTGCTGAACTCGATGATTCTCCCAATCCGAAACAAAAATACACCCGTTTTGATCTATAGCAATGCCGGTGGGTCCAAGAAACTGTCCATCTTTTGAACCCTTAGAACCAAATTCAGTAATAAACTTGCCTAATTCATTAAAAACCTGCACACGATTATTACCATGATCAGAAACAAACATTCTACCATCCTCGTGAATAGCGATTGCCCAAGGTAAATTCATTTCACAAGGTTTGTTACCTAGAACACCAAAATTTAAATACGTGTTCTCAATCTAAAGGGAAACAAAACAAAAAAATGTAATGAAGCAGAATAAAAAGGGTTCAACCAAACAAAAAAATTTTAAAATACAATACCTTTAAATAATCTATGCCATCGTAAACCCTAACAGTATGGTTGCTGTTTGGAAATTGACGGCCTCTAATCTTAATAGTGATGTTATATTTCCCCCGAGTTACTGGTGTATACCGGATGCAGTAAGACCCATCGTTATTGTTTAAAATTTTGTTATTGACGTAGAAACCTTCAGGAGCTTGGATTTTAACTCTAATTGCGTCATTGGTTGTTGTCTCTACGCAAGGGGATCCAAAGCGATCAAAAACTTTAACAATAAAGAATGTCTCAATCCCAACCTTTCCAGTGCGTAAACCCTGGCCGCTAACTATTGTGTTTGTTAAAAAAATGGCCGATGTTGAAATTTCGCCTAAATTATTTGCAATGTTTTCAACAGAATCAAAGTCAAACAAATGATCTATGACATCATTTTCATGCGGCTCTTTGTACTCTAGTTCTTCTTTATTTAAATACTCCAATCGCATTTTCATAACATCTAATAGTTCAAATATTTCTGCTTCGCTTCCATTTTTGAGAGCGTAGTTTACAAAGTCATTAGCAGTTTTATTTTTCATTAATCGTAGTTGTAGACCAAGTTGTTGTTCATAAAGCAACCTACTCTTGTTTGAATAAATTGCATCAACTGTTGAAAGTAGTTCGTGACAGCGAAACTCTATTGCCCTAATACATTGAGCAGTACAGTTTTTAACTGCTTGTTTTGTTGCCACCGTACGTGCGTGTAACCTTGCAGCCATGTCTTGAACTTCGTCAATTGCACGTTCGATAGGACGAATTTTCTTAGACTCGTTATCTTCCAGAATTGACATCATGTATGGTTTCTTATTTTTTAACGCATCCTTAAGCTCTAGAGAAATTAAAAAGTTTATAGAATTTAAGAATACATAAAAATATGTAGATTTATATTCATAATAAAGTAACTAGGCTTTAGTTCAGTCCTTGGTTGTTTTGATCTGATTGTTTTGAAAACAGAAAGAGAATTAAAAATAAACTATATCCTGAAAGTGTATTGATTGATGACAGAGACTTAGTTTATTTGGATAGTTCAATTTCTTGCTTGAAATGTCTTCTTGTTTTAATTACTTATAAACTTTATGCTGATTGCTGGTAAAATAAGTAAAAACTACATAAAACAAACTTACTTTCATACTTATGACCTCTATGTTGGAGGATTGTACACTCGTTACAAATAATATCATCGCAATCTTCGCAGTAAAATGCAAATACTTCTTGTTCATGAAATAAGCAGTGCACCGGACGATGTACAGAACTTTTATCATAACGGAGTGTATCTAAGTCTATAACCTTATGATCTTTTGTAACACGAATCCTTTTATGAGCCGTAACACATTTTAAACATAAAAACTCTGAACATTCTACACATCTTGATACTGCGTCAGATTCATCGCTACAGCACGTGCATAAAATAGCGTTTTCTTTTGTGCTTTGAATGAGGAGAAAGTCAATAGCATTATTAGCAAAGAAGTTATAGGGAAGCATTTGAAGATCGTTATCAGGAAGTATTGTGACTTCAAAACAACGTTGACATTTAATTATACTACGTTCTCCAAGTTCATGATCTATTTTATTGATATTGTTGGCACAACACTCTTCGCAAAACGTATGCAAACAATCTAAAACTCTAGGATAACGGAACGTTTGTTTACAAATGTAACACGTGATATCAATATCCTTTTCTTTTTTTTGGAACTCAATTCTGTTACATTTATCGTCAAGCTTCTCCATATCTCATGTCATATTAATATCTTCATTATATCTAAAAAAAAAATAAAAAAATTTCTATTTTAATTTAATTATAATCTAATTAAACTAAATTTTTTTTTGAGATAAATTTTAATTTTAATTTGCAAACACGTAACATGCAAACAAAACACAAGCAAAAGACAAAAACGTTTAAAATCTTCTGCCATCATTTTATTTGAAGTATAAACGCAAATAAAACAGCATTAAAAAGCTAGTTTCAAATAGCCGTATTTTTTTGTCATAAAAGAGATGTTTTGCATCGATGCCTTTGATGTTGTTAAACCAATGATTCTCGATGAGCATAAAAAAACTTCTATGCCGCACGCTTTAATCGATATCTAAATAGATTTATGCCAAATATATATTATATTTTTAAATTTAACATAATATTTACTTAAAAGTTTTTGTTTTTTTTTAGTTTATTTTTATATATGACTATAACTAATAATGAATAAATATAATTTTTATATACATATTTTTTGTTATTACTTTTTATCTGAATATTAAAAATTATTAAAATAGTTTTTACCGCTTTTTAGCTTAATCATCTAATAGTTTTATAAATAGTATTAGTATCTTGTTAAATATTTAATAAATATTGATACTTTCAGTGACATAGTTAGCAAAACATAAATCTTGCAATTCGGTTAACCTTGCCCCGTTTAGGGAGCTTGCGCGCTGTTTAATGGATCCCGTCTTTAACAAATTAACTTTTTTTAATTACTGTTTTTGTAATTTTCTTTAAATATGATATAAATAAGGGTCCAACAAGCTAATTTGCAAAGTCTCTGGGTATTTACTATTTCTTTCAATTGATATGCAGTAATATTGTTTAGACAAAATATTTAAATTTTCTCAAAATTGAAAAATAAATTTAATTTAAGCATACAATATTTAGATTACAAAAAAAGTTTACAAAATAATGTTACTCTAAAAATCACATTCATGTTCATTTGGTTAAATTTTATTTTGAAGGTGTGCAAGAAAAAATTAATTGTTTTTATCTTATTTTATTGAAATCGAGGTGGTAGAGGTTTTGAAACTGAGGTGCTTTATAGCAATTGCCAATCTCTTAACATTTTAAAAAAATACTATTATTGAAATGTATTTTAAAAAAAAAAAAAAAAAAACTGTTATTATATTTTAACTTATTCCAAATCAATTTATATATTAACTTATTCCAAATTTTTCTTATATTTTAACTTATTCCAAATCAATTAGACTTTATAATGAAAAAAAAATAACAATAACGAACCAATTTTATGTCACGTGTGCTACGCACAATGTGAGCTTTCTTCATATCTGCACGCTTCGTTACACAACCTTTATATTATTTCAATTAACCAGTTAAAATTCAAAGTAAATATCACGTGTCACAAGCTTAAATTAAACTTTTAAAAAAACTTTAAGCTACAATAAATGTTTTAAATAAAATAATTTTTTTTTTAATTTTGTTGCAAAATATGACAACATTAAAAACTGCTCGGGATATTTATGACTTTCGTTGCATATTATGTTCTGAAACATTTAAGAATCCAAAAGTTCTTCCTTGTTTGCATTCCTTTTGTTACTCGTGTTTGGAAGAGCTCATTCGGTAAGTTTTCTTATAATATCTATAAAGCATTTTTATATCAATACTGTTAATTGATAAAATCTTTGAAAATCAGTTATATCTGCAACTTTTCTTTTAACTGTTAACAGTATATCTTTAGAGGGCACGAACAAACATTGGTATGTCCAACATGTACTGTTGAAATTCAAGTTGATCCTACTGGACTAGATGCATTTCCTGCTAATTCTTTTGCCATCAACATGCTTAACATTCTTGCCATAGAAAATCCAACCAATTGCTCAAATTGTGAAGATCGTGAATTAGCAAATTCAAGGTGTTTAGATTGCGTGGAAAATCTATGTACAAGATGCGTCACTGCACATGAACGTATTAGACAAACAAAGGGGCATAAAATAATTACATTTGAGGAACTGCAAAACAATGCAGTTCATGATGCACTCAAGTGTCATTCCTTTTGTAAAACTCACGATAGAGAGGTAAATTTAAATTTTAATACACATGTTATAGTCTGGGTATGCAATCCTGGCATTTATTGTATTCCATAAATCTCAGGAGCTTTAAAATTCAGTTTTGTTTTTGTTTCTTTGTAATAAATAATACCGGTTATTTTATTTATAGCTATACAAGTACCATTAAACTCATACTGTCATACGCGCATGGTGTATGACTGTATGAGATTTTTGTTTTCAAAGGTTTACGCACAGCTCTTACTGATTACATACTTACGTACAACTCTAATTGCTATGTTATTTAATAAATATGCCAATAACAACAATCATTATTAGGAACTAACAATCATGTGGCAAAATAAAGCAAAAATATAAGATCAGCATTATACTTTTTATCCTTTATCAACATAAAAATAAAAAGAAAACAAAGCTTGAGTAAAATATTTTTATGTCTTTCTTTGTGGATTTCAAAGTTATTTTGGTATAAATATAGCGTTTATGAACAGAAAATCTTATTTTATTGCAAACAGTGGGGTCAATTCAAAAAGTTGCTTTAACTCTCTGCTAAAATTGATCCTACTTGTTATTAGAAAAAACATTAATGATCACAGCCTTGATTTACATGCAATATTTTTTATTATGATGACAAATGGTGAGTGGTTTGTTTGTTGCTTGTTGCTAATCAGTAATTATGTTTTATACACAATATACTAGCTGAAGAAGTTGACCTGCTTCATAAAACGGGGACTTTGTAACAACCTTCCAGACTTTAAAAATGAAATTTTTGACAGAGATTTGTTTTAGGAAGAGGATAATCAAGATAATTTATTTGACTATAATTACAGTGTATGTGTAGTTATAATAATTTCTTCATTTAAATGTCAAAAAAAAATTTGGTTGAAGCTGTACGAAGCAAATATTGTAGGTATCTTTGTGATCAAGAAGATTTTAAAGTGTGACAATTTCTCCAAGATCTCAACTCTTTTTAGAAACTCATTTTTAAATCTATTTTATCTTGAATTGGAACAGGTTTTCTTTTTATTTTATTATTTCGGCTTCATATTTTTTTGCATGAAGTTGTTCATTTTCATTGCACGCAGTTTTCCATGTTTATGGAAAACAATATGGAGTTGGTTCTCATTTTTGTAAAGAATGTTAAAATGGGTTAAAAACACTATAACTAAAGTATGACGGAGGTATTGCATTTGAGTGCAATTTTGGAAAGTGAATAATAGTACACTTTTTTTTTTTTTTCAACATCTTCACTTCCAATGAGGCTGCAACCAACCAAAATTAGAGTTGGAAGTTACTGGAAGAGAAAAGATGAAGTTTATAGAGCAAGATAACGATTAACAGACAACTTAAAAGATAGCGAATTATATGAACTAAGAAAACAAGATGAAAGGCGCGAATTCCAAAGAACTGATGTTTGAGTAGAAAAATTGAAAATGTTTGGAAAATTGAGTTATGTAGTGTTATTATAAAATAAAAAAAGTGTGGCGGAGGGTTATTTAAACCCCGCTCCATCTAAAGAAGGTGATTTTCAAGTTATGGTCGGTTTTTTGATAAATATATTCGGGTAGTCAGATATTTAACACAATTCCGTCAAGTTATTTTTAGTTTTGCGGACCTTTTTTTTTAAAGGAACCAGTCGCGTACTTTTGAAGAATTCTCTTTCCCCCCCCCCCCTCCTCCTACACACATTTTATTTGTAGAATCACCTTTCTACAAATTCGCCTTTTTGGTTTCATTTAGTTTTTTTATAGTAAATCTAATTTTCTTTAAACTTATTAGATAGTATATTCATACTTTATTAATTTGAAACTATTGAATAGAACGAACAAAAAGGTCACGTTCGCTTATTAAATGCAATATAATTAAATAACTGAATTAAAAAACCTTGACAAGCCTCACTTGTTAATACAATACTTGTTAATACAAGTTAAGTTTGTGTCAAAAGATTTCAACCCGCCAATGCCGATTCAACCTGAACCCAATTGCTAATATTATTGGTAAATAGATAAAGCATAAAGTTGTTAGCAAGGAACACATAACGTTGATAACAAGATATTAACTGGGTTGGTTAGTTTTTAAACAAGACTGTTTATATTGAATAATTATTGTCGTTAACAAAAAATTTTTTTTAATCTTTTTATTTAGATACTAAAATACTTTTGTGAAACGTGCGATGAAGCAATATGTAGAGATTGTGCAATAAGTGAACACAGAGATCACAATTATATGGATCTTAAAGAAGCAGTTAAACTCCACAGAAACGGGGTAACTAATCTATTGGACAATGCCAAACGAAAAATTCCCGTTATAAAACTTGCCTTAAAAGAAATAGCAGAAGTTAAAGAAAACTTAAATCAAAGGTTTTTTTTCTTTTGTAAGATTAACAATGTTAAGTATTTCAAACTATTATAAAATAGTAATAATAAAAATTTAAATCCTCTACTAACTAAGGGTTTCAATAGGCTCTCTTGTCAAACCCCTTTTTCGACGTTAGGCGCCTATCGCGTCCGCTTACTTGGATTTATAGGGACTACGTATTGGGATAATAGGAGTAGGATAATTGGAGTGTACATACTTTGACGGGCTTGAATAGGGATAGGTGCGGTGAGTGTACATACATCAACTGAGGGTTTAGGTTTGAGAAGGTTTTTTTTTTTTTATGTTTGTGGACTTAAAGGACAGCGTCGGAATAGGATTTAAAAAAGAGTCTACCAAGGGTTTCTTTAGACATTTCTTTAATCTCAATTGTACATTTATTTTTTAGACGCACCTCAATTGCACATTTTATAAAAAGCAAGATTGATCTTCTAATAAAATACATGGAAGAAAGAAAAACACAACTTCTTTCTCAGCTCGATGAAATCTACTTGGAAAAAGAATCGGTACATTCTTTTAAGATCATATAGACGTGATAAACTTATGTTGTTAATATTCGAACCAAGAGTTTAGTTGTCTGAAGGAAAAAAAATTTTTACATAATTATTTTTAATTTTTAAAATTTTACGCCAAATAAAAAACAGTTGCGTACTTTTTTCGTGTAATCAGCCGCAAAGCTTTATAAATTTATAAATTTAATTTATATATAATATAATTTATATATAATATAATTTATAAATTTAAAAAATCTGTCAGTCAAGATAAAATATTTGATACCGAGATTTATAACTAAAATTTTAACACATAGGTAATAAATGATCAACAAGATGAGTTGGAACTCGACCTCGATAATTTTCATTCAAGTTGTGAATTTGTAGAAAATATGATGAACTATGGAAACGAAGCTGAAGTAATGACTGTAAAAAGGTTTATGACAAAGAGATTGCGTGATTTATGTAGTTATCAACCTCAAACAGAACCCGAAGAAAACGATGTTATTGAATTTTCTTTTGAAGACGCACCTCTAAAGGTAGTTTTTTAAACTTTATTTTTTTCTATTCCCGTAAAACGGGGTCACTTGAGACAGTGGTGTTACTTAAAAAAAAATAAGTAATTTTAGTGTTTTAAGTTGGCATTACCTCGCATTCCATATTTCACAGTTAATTCATACTTGAAATAGAAGAGTTAGATGAAAGTTTATTAGCAGTGTTTTTCTTCAGTTTTTACTTGCGACATATTTGAAGTGACTCCAAAACTATGTTTATTCCCTTTAATATGTTTGTTTTATCGTTTTTCATCCATCCTATTTCATTCTTTGCATAAGATTAGGTGTTATAGACCTACTAATAATAACAAAGTAGGTAATTTCATTTGTTTTAGCTTTATTTCACACAAAAAAAGTAACATCTTGTAGTAGGGTTACTTGAACTTGAGCGAAGCCATTGTCCCAGAAACATCTTATAATAAGGTTAATTGGTACTTTTATTTTTCTAATTTAAAATCTAAATCACTAGAATGAAAACTCAATGATTATGTACACACACAGCCCCTTGTTAATCCCGCTACGGTAACTTTCATTTAAATATTTTTCTCTAATTTTACTTTTTCATCAAGTTACCACTTTATTCATTTTCTTTATACGTGAATGCGATATCATATAGAAATTATTCACTTATTCATGGGTATCATCTTTATTGGGTTTTTCCATTGAAAAAAAAAAAAAAAATTATACTGCATTAACTTTTAAATGGAAAATCATTTTTTTAACTATATTAGTTTTAAAATTTTTACTTTTAAAGGATGAAGTTGATAAGTTCGGAAAACTTAGCACAAGTAATACATTTCCTTTATTTTGCATTGCAAAAGGTGATGGTCTTCACCAGGCTACAATGGGACATACAACAGAATTCAAAGTAATTACAAAAGACAGATTTGGAAATTTTATACCTAGAGGTTGATTTTATTTTTATTTTAGTTGGTTAACTTTAAATGTCTTAATAAAATAGAAAATTCTAGACAATAATACTAACAGCTTCTGTTAATAAAAATCTACGGCTATTGTAAAATTTGAACTGAATATTCAAATTTTAAATCATTTTTATTACTCAAAATCGCTACTTTGCTAATAAAAATTCAGTCAAAATTTTTAATGTTTCTAAGTTCAATTGTTATATTGTAATTTTGTTCTATAATAATACTGTCAGGTTTCCTGGGTAACAATCTTTTATATAAAGAAGGTTTTAAACCTTTTATAATAATCAACAAAAATTTTTTGTTAAAAGTTGATTAAAATGCAACTATTGCAACAAAAAAATCTAAAGATCTTTTTGTTTGTTTTCAATAATTTATGAAGTTGACAAACTTTCCATTGTTAAGGTGAATTTCATTAAGCACTTTTTGTCTATCAATATTAAGTTTGCTTATATTCCAATAAAATTATAATTATAGTTATATTTATATGAGAGTTTTACACAATGTAACAGAGTTAATATTAATATACAAATCCAGCATAATCATTATATTGTACTGTGAGGAAAAAAAAAAAAATACTCAAACTGCTTTGAGAAGAATGACTAAATTCCAATTGAATGAATTCTGTGTGGAAAAGGAAAAAGAAGATGAGTCAAAAAATGTTGAAAATGAGTTATACACGCCATTAAAGTAATAATATTATTAAGTATCAAGGAAAAAAGGATAAATTTTAAAAATCCCTTCAAAAAATGATCACTCGATTCATTATACAAAGCTTGCAACAGTTGCAACTGCACCAATTTTATATTACTTCTGCTGTAAAGTGACACTTCATGACTCATATTCCTTTTTCTTTTGCACACAGAACTGTTCTACACATTAATGTTTATCAAAGTTTAACGGAAACAAAAAAGAAAAAAGTTCAGCGATAACAGAAAATAAAAATTTTTTGAGAAAGCCCAACAAAATTTAAAGTATGAAAAAGCAAAAAGGATCTAGAAAAAACCATTTTTTAATACTAAACAGTTTTTAAATTAAGAGATGACTGTAGATGTTTTCAAGAAGATGAGTGAATTTTACTACCATTTTTTTATACTAAGACCAATAAGATAATAAAAGGATCTTGGGATTGTAAATGAAAAAAATTATGTATTAGCTATTCAATCCTGCTCATACTCGGTTCATAAAAGTATAAAAAATTAACAGAAAAGTTTCAAAAAGAAGATTCACAGAGGTATACGTCAGTAGTGATTACAGAGTTGTTTTTTAATGTGAAAAAAATTGAACCTTGTAAATAAACAAGATGAAACAACATTAAAGTACTTTTCAAGAATCTACAAAACTGATACTAGAATAGACTGATACTAGAATAGACTGATACTAGAGAACCAAAAAAAAAATGTATTTTATTTCATTTCCAATTAACCTAGTCAGAGAAGAACCAGCACAAATGATAGTCAAACTAATAATAGATTGATGTAATAAATTTTATAACGATCTGCACTTCATGATGATTCCACAGCTACTAGCAATGTAATATTTATTTATTTATTTATTTATTCTTTTCATCACCCAAAATTACAGGTAAAAAATACAGAGCTCATAAAACTAATGGTTTATACTATAAGTTAAAATTCTAATTTAGATTCTTATTGGAATACTTTCTTCCATTAAATGTTTGAATATCATTCTCTGCTCTCTGACGTTCCAGAACTCAAAGGACTGGTTTAAAATTTCTGCTATATTATCATCGTTACGACGTTTGATGATGATTTTTTCCCCCTTAATCAAACACTGCATGAAGCATAGTTCCAGGCGGTTGCAAATTTTCATTATTTCGTAAATAAAGCAGTTTTCCTTATTAACATTAGATATTTGAGTTAAAATCAAGGAAAGACAAGTCGGATTGCTCAGTAATCTGATAAACAGATTCAATTTGTTTTGAACGAGGATGGTAGATACGTCATCGATTTTAAAGTAGGAATGCAGATAGTTTTTGCTGTATTTTGAATTACTAAAGAGAAATTTTAGTGCTGATCTTCCAACAGCGTCTAATTTATTAAGAAAATTATTGGTATAATGACAAATTTCTAATCCATTCGATAGATTTGGTATAGCCAGAGATTTTTACAAATGCACTATAGTTACTGGTTGACAAAAAAATTTGCTGAGATCATAAAAAGAAATTGCTTAATAAAAACAGTATTATATATCTCGGGCATCTTATTCAAGATCTGGATGATAAAATAACTTTCAATAAAAGGTTCAGCGAATATAAATTATTAAACTGTGCCACATTACTCTCTGAAGGATTTCCAAAACAAAAATTAGTAAAAAATGGAGTTTGATTAAGATGAAATAATTTTTTAACTAACACAACAGTGATAAAATAATTTTTGCTATGAATTCTGGTAAGATTTTTTGCTATGAATTCTGGTAAGATTTTTTGCTATGAATTCTGGTAAGATTTTTTGCTATGAATTCTGGTAAAATACTTGTTGATTTATAGAAATGGTTTTATTAATCACAGCAAATGGCTGACTATTGCAAACATACTGAAAAGAATCAAGTCTCACTCATAGTTTAACTGTACAATAGTTTGTAATTTAAAGCAAATTTTAGTATATGTTGTTTGGGTCTATCTAAGTGGCTTTGATATTACTGTGAAATCTTGTCCTTTATTTTAGGTCTCTTGTTTGGCTCTTCTATTTAATTGGGTCTGATATTTAGGCTAACAGAAAGGCAAACAGACGCGTCCAATGTAAGAAAACCAAACTCCTTTCATGAATTCTTCGTTCATGGAAAGAGAACGGTTTTCTTACATTGGAGCTGTGCAGTTTGCTTTGCAATTTTGTAGAGGAAGTAAGAGTTTACGGAGTGAATCTGGTACTTCAAAGCAGAAAGGGTTCAAATAAAGATAATACGTCTGTTTCGGAGAAGATCCAAGGATTGTATGGTTGCATACCATTTCAAACAACAGAGTATTGAAAGGACTGTTAAAAAAAAGCATGTCCTATCGATTGCGGACTAAAAAAATGAATTTATCTAAGCAGGTAGCCATTGCCAGCAACTTTTATCTAAAAACAAAAAAGATTTAAAAATGGTTTTTTGATTTTCATATTGGAAGTATGTTAATGTATACACAACATGCATAAATAACGATATCAATTATCTATTGTACTTATAACTTTTATGATAAAATATAAAATACAGAAATATACTAAAATTTTACAAGAACATTATCTGGAAATAGAAGAACGCGGGAACTCGAAGAAGGCCTTGAGGATTTTTGTCGAGAACCGCTAAAAAAATTGTGTTTAAATATTTCGCAATAAAATATTTACAAAACACATAAAGAAATTTAAAATAAAGATTAAAAAATAAAAGAACTTAACTTATTAACTATTATACTAGTAGATAAAAAAATAATTTAGAATTGAAATCATAAACAATAATTAAAAAAAATTCCTTTGTAAATGTAAAAGATGTAAATAAATATAAGACCGTGCGGTTAACCGAACCGAACCGTTCTTTCGGTGAAAACCGAAACAAAAAAACTGAATCGAACCGAATCGATTTAATTATTTAAAATAAAATAAAAACCGAACCGTACCCAAAAAAGCTTTGAAAAACCGATCTAAAGTTTTAAAATGTCAAAAAAATTATTTGATATCAAATATTATCAAATTTTATTGAATAATATATAACTGATATTTAATTTAAGAAATTTCAAACCACAAAAAAGCAAAGTAAAGAAGGGAACAATTTAAACATAATAAAATAGTCCGCAGACATCATGGTCCACAAATTAGAACAAATGTTGCAGACCATGATGGAATAAGATTATGGAGAGTTTAGATATCAACGTCTTGTAAAATGTAAATATAATATAAGATTTTTCTAAAAAGCTGTATTTTTTTATTTTATTAAAATTTCAAATATTATTTATAATATTTACTATGTAATATTGTTATTTTGAAAACCTTGTTTTCTAAACTGTTTTCATTGTATAGATATTTTGTTGTTTAAATATTATTAAATAATATTAATTTAAATATTATAAATATAAAAATACAATAGGAGCATACAAGATGTAGAATACTTTGTTTTTAACCGAACCGAACCGATCAAAAAAAGTTTAAACCGAACCAAAAAAAAAACTATATATATATAAGAAAGTTATATATATATATTTATAACTTTTGTTAGTTTTATTTTTAAAACCGAATCGAAAAAAACCGAACCGATAAAAATCTTAACCGCGTGGCCTTAAATATATAGTTAAAAGAAAATAGATCTATCATCTAATAAAAAAATAACTTTTTAAGTTTTTGTTTGAAAGCAAGATAGCTTAACTCTTAAAAAAAGTTTTTCAAAATTATTTTATTTCAAAGAAAAACTCCCCGAAATGAAATACACAATTAGTTTGATTGACGTTATCATTTCGTAAATTGTTTTTTGTTTTTTCTTTTTTGGTATACAAAATATAAAAAGGTACAGAGGATAAATTGCTTTTACATTTAAACATAAAGCAAATGACATAAAATAATAATAAATAAGCAAATTTCAATTAAAAGAGAATAGGCATGAGTAAATCAGTCCTTAAAATTAACAAGACATGCAACATATTTCTGTTGACGGTAAAGTAGTTCCAGTTTATTTTTATTAGTACAACCCCACGCAATGTTCACATAGTGAATATTTCGTGGGATACTACTACTAAAAGTAATGAATGAGTGAATAATATAGTTTAAGCAAAGTATGCTTATTAAGAAAACTCTTTGATTTATATAAAATTCCTTGTCTTTTTGATATGTTACTTCTCAAACTTTTTATGTGATAATTCCAAGTCAGATTTTCATCCATATAAATACAAAGAAAGTTATATATATATATATATATATATATATATATATATATATATATATATATATATATATATATATATATATATATATATATATATATATATATATATGCTT